GATAGGGTTTTGTGAATAAACTAAGAGTTCAATAAAGATATTTGTTATTCATTTACTATTACCTTTTGCCGTGTCTTTATATAGGCGTGATTGTAATAAAATTATTGTGATTAATTCGACAGACTGAATTATATCATCTAAGTTTTATTTCCAGCCCTCCGGCTAACACCATGAATTGTGTATAATTGTTTGAATATGTTTGGAATAGTTTTAAAGGTTCCATCCATAATCCAAATAGATGATTGTGCTAAATAATTAATATTAGCAGAAGTTGTAAATATCAACAATCTTTTATTGCTAATAATTAAATCTCTAACCAAAAAGTCAACCCCATCTAAAGTTCTTTTCATATTTTCAGGAATGATAAAACTCTCTAAAGTTTGTGGTTCTACAGGCAAATCAATATGTCAAACTCGTTTAATGGTTTAACGAAATGCATCACATAATGGAAGATATAAATACACTTCATTTGTACTATCAGATACAATAGCTTGAATAACCTGTGCAGGCTGATCATTATTTTGTTAAGCCTTTTTTTTTAATAAATTGATCTTTTTAATAACTTTGATTTGGCTAGCTTCTGCTGCATGATTATGTTCAGAAAATTTTACAAGATTATATTGATCTTTAGTTAGTATAGTGCTTGCTCGTCCATTGCATTTTAAAATATCCCATTTTTCACAATACCAATAATAATTATGATTTCGATTTTTGTCTTTAAGCATTATATATCCATAAACATTAATTTTATCTTTATTACGATTAGAAGAAACAATTTCACAAATATACATTATGAGAATATTTTGATGCAGTATAAAAAAAGGACAAAAATAATTTTTTTTAAAGGTTGATTGATATTAGCATTTGATTTTCCATTTATGTATACATCGAACAATAAATAGTATCATATATTATATTATCTATCAGATATTAGCCAAATTAAGAATCAATTTTTATTATTGTGTGCTATGACATCATGATCGCTAAATTGAAAAAAAAATGAAAAAATTATTATTGTTATTAATATTATATTAAAAGTTCAAATTTTTTGTATTAATTATTACTAGTTTACAATAAAAAATTATTTATTAAAAATAAACTGTTGGTGAAATAATCATGTCGGTAAAATAATCGTGTCAGTGAAATGATCGTGTCAGTAAAATGATTATCGGTGAAATAATTGTCGGTAAAATGATCTTGTCGGTAAATCATTTGTCGGTGAAATGATTGTTGATGAAATGATTGTTGGTGAAATAAATGCGTCTCTTTGTTTTTCGTTTATTTAGCTATTTGGCTTTCATTTATCTAGTTTGGTAATTTTGGCTAGTTAATTTTATGATTATATTTCCTATTTTAGTTAATATATTACTTATTTGGCTATTTAGATATTCGACTTTTATTTTATCTAGTTTGGTTATTTTGGCTATTTAATTATTATATAATATTTTCTATTTATTATAATAATTTGAATATGTGGATATTTGAATATTTGATTATTGACTGTTTTATTTTATTTAGTTTGATTATTTTAGATATTTTAATTATTATAATTATATTTTCTATTTTAATTAACTATTTTGTTTTTTGATTATTTAGCTATTTGGCTTTTATTTATCTAGTTTGATTATTTTGGCTAATTAATTATTATGATTATCTTTCCTATTTTAGTTAACTATTTTGCTTATTAGACTATTTAGATATTTGGCTCTTATTTTATCTAGTTTGATTATTTAGGCTATTTATTATTATGTAAATATTCCTATTTTAGCTATTTGATTATTTTAGATATTTTTAACAATTGATTATTTTGATCTTTTAATTAGTTTCCAATTTTATTTATTTAATTTATTCGACAATTTTTTCTATTTTAGCACTATAATTATTATAAATTTTAGATATAAATGCAAAATTTCTTTTATTTATTCTAAAAAATTTTAAATAAAACAAATATGAATCCAGAAACATTTGAATTACTTTATAAAAATTTTGAAAAATACATAAAAAATCAAAAATTTGATTTATTAAATTTTTTAAATTTTCGTTTAAAAAATTCTGATTTTACTAAAAATAAGGATACTGAATATTTATTATTTACTAAAATTATTGAAAAAAATTTTTTTAATAATGATTTACAAATAGCAAAAAATAAATTTAATGTAAGTAAACTTTAAAATTAATTTAATTAATTAATTTTATTTATTATTATAATAAATTTATTTAATAGAAAGATAAAAAATCTTTATTAATTCTTGGCTGGTAGGCTGCTTGTAATAATAATGAGAATGAAATTTCTGCTGGTATTATGGCTTATTATAGTATAAATAATAATAATAATTTAAATAATATTATTATGCAAAGTAAAGAAAATATAATAAAATTAGAAAATATTTTAAAAAGTCGACAAAGTTATAATCAGGTAATTATATTTAATTAATTTTATAATTAACAAAGTTTTAATTAATTTCTTTTATAATAGTTTTCACTTGATTGGATATATAAAAATTATAACATATCTAATTTAATTAAAAGTTCTGCAAAAAAAATATCTGGAAAATCAAAGTATATATTATTATATTTAATTTATTATTTATTATAAATAAATACTA